GTGAACAGTCAGCTAGCTAACCAACAGTGAACAGTCAGCTAGCTAACTGTTGGAGACCACTGACTGTTATATCTTTCTTCATGTAACCAAACTGACGAGGTTGAGCTTCCTCCCGGCTGCGAACGTGTTCACTGTTACATGTATTTCTGAAGTCAAAGCTCCTCAAGATGTTTTCTGTTGTTGACCTTAACTACAATGACTCCAAGTCCACACATGTAACCCCGAGACAACAGAGCTTCCACCCGTCCGTCGGGACCCTCAGACTGAAAGGGACAGTGCATCTTGTTTTTGTTTCTTTGTGTTGTGTTGGTCTCGCTGTGGTTCTTTTGGTTTCTTTGCGATTGTTTTGGTCTTGTTGCAAAGCGAAGTAAATATTGCAGTGAGCAGTTCTAGTCAGGTTGGGAGGATCAGTTGGCCGTTAAACAGAAGGCACTACGTTCAGCGGCAGATTAATCCACAGTTGGTGGTGCAGTAATTCTAGCCGCAGGATGGCGGTGGTTTGTGTGAGAGATCGGAGGCTTGGATAAGGCTGTTAGCTGGAAATAGAAGCCTACAGTTAAAAAAAAAAAAAAGGTGAACCAATGAGAGCTTTCCAAATATATGAAATGGAAAGCCTTAAAATGCACATTTACTGCAGGCAAAGTGCAACCACAAGGGGCGTGATGAGTAAAAGCAGGACTCCGAGGTCCTGCTCAACTTTTCCTTGATGTGTACAATTAAAAATGGCTCATTATAGTTTGTCACTTGCTCTTTCAGGGTTCCGTCTTGAACCATGGAACAGATGTTAAATTAGCGGGATCCTCCAGTCATTTAGATGTCTGTGACCTGTTCATGGCTTGCGAGAAGAAGCAGAAAGGCATGGTGTTTCATCAAGAAGGGACACCCACCTCTGCAACAGCACCTGCAGGAAACTATCCACCTGCATGCTTGGTTGTTCCCAAACTAGGGCAAACAATTGAAGGCAGGATGGAACGAAGCACCCATGTAACCAGCGAAGAGGCGGAAGTGATTGAAGCCAACATGTACCCATTGAAGGAAGGCATCAGTACTCCTGGTGGTTTTCCTGCTGTGAAATATCCCACCAGCTTTAATCCTCATCCAGACAACCTGTCACCTGATATCATCTGCAAAGGCATCAGAGTGACGCTGGACAACAACAGCATGTGGAACGAGTTTTTCAGATGCAAAACTGAGATGATTCTGACTAAACAAGGCAGCAGGATGTTCCCTTACTGCCGCTTTCGTATCTCTGGCTTGCAGCCATTTAAGAAGTACTGTCTAGTCATGGACATTCAACCTTTAGACAACAGTCGTTACAAGTGGACTGGCAAGTGCTGGCAAGTTGCAGGGAAAGCAGAGTGTCAAGTTAAGAGTAAACCATTCGCTCATCCAGAGTCCCCATCAACAGGTCAACACTGGATGCAAAATCCAGTGTCCTTTTACAAACTGAAGCTCACAAACACCATCTTAGAGCAAGAGGGAAACACCATCCTGCATCCCATGCACCGCTACTTTCCACGACTGCACGTAGTCCAAACTGACAAAGTGGCAAAAGACATAAAGCTAAATGGTCCTTGTGTTGTCACATTCAGTTTCCCTCAGACTGAATTCATGGCAGTCACAGCTTACCAGAACTCACGTTTTGCTCAGCTCAAAGTTGACTATAACCCATTTGCTAAAGGACTGAAGGAGGATGGGTCCTGTTCATTGGGCCTAAAACTGAAATTGAACTCCAGCAAAGACTTGCACAAAGCTGGAGGCACAACAACCAGTGAACATCATCCTGTAAAAGAGAGTTTGAAGTGTTTGCTTGCAAGCCATAAACCAAGAAGCTCAAAAGTAATGGATTCAAAACTTCCGGTGTCAAGTGACCTCCTAAAGAATTCAACCTCAAACGGAGATCCGTCAGCTGCCCAGGTTCCAGAGGAAAGTTTGTGGTAAGAGTTCTACTCTGACAGAGAAAATGGCATGCTATTCAATTTTTTGTTTCACACAATAGGCTTGCATGAGATTAGAGATGTTCCGAGAACATTTTCTCTCCCTGATTCAAATACCTTGAATTTTCTGCTCAGCCGACACCAAGTACTGATCTGGTGCTAGTGCGTTTAAAAAGATATCAACTCATATGATGTATTTTAACAGATGCTGCATTTTGTACCTTTTTGCTTTTCCTCTGTGAATTTGTTATGCTCATTTGTGCGCTGGTTCTTCAAATGCTTTATGGGATTAATAGTGGAGATACTAGTGCCATCCCCTCTAGTATTTCACTGCGTACCCGTCTCTGTTTTATTTGTTGGACTTTCCAGCATTAACTATTGTCAAATTGCTGACATTTTAACTAGCTCTGGCTAACGCTACACTACCGGAAATCAATTCTTCTCACTCTAAAATCAGTGCTTGCTAGTGGTAGTACAGTCAGACTGCTGTTTAAGAGCGCAAAGAAGTGACGTCCGGGGAAAGGTAAGTTTTATCCAGGTGAAACTTAAGCCCTTATATCACATCGGTACATAGATGTGAGTATTGATGAGGCCTGACCTGGCATTTTGGACAATATAGAAGGCGTTTCCTATTCTTTACTGGAACTTTTTTACATGAGAGTGCTAGAATGAAGATCAACTTGGGTCAGGGTGTGCACCTTATAAGTTGATCGTGTTATGTGAGATAATGAATCTCAGGCTTCTCTTACACTTGACTCCATCTACATCTTAGAATGAAAACTGCTTTTCTTTCACAAGGGTTTGTACTAGTACCTTTGCATATTCTTTCTAGTGCATATATGGCCTACAGATTGCAGATATGGTTAGTATTGATCTTTTACACATCCAGCTTTTATTTTTTCCTGTTGTCATTCAAATGTCGCAGAGCAAAGTTAACTTGACTGTGGTGATTGGCTCTTCCAAAATTGGTCGGAAGAGCTTTTACACACTTGAGCGGGAGCTAACAGCTCTGCCATTTATTAAGGCAATAAAAACAAATGTGATTGACAGACAACATTTGCATGAAATATTTTTTTTATCTACTTCTACTGGTTATTCCTCAAGGTCTTGAGTTGTTAGTTAAGGTAACACAATATATTAGAGGTTCTATTTACAATGAAGGATAGCCTGTATTTTCGCTAGTTTTTATGTCCTTATGTGTGAACAAGGAATAGAACCAAAGTTGTGTCAAGAAGCTGATTGGCTAATGTGGGTATTAATTAAATCAGTGTTTATTTATTTGTAGAGTGTAGTACTTACTGTCATTAATAGAAATGTTCTGACAAATGTTCCCTTGCCCATGCCAACTATCAATCCGATACTATTGCATTTATTAAAATAACAACTTCTATATGGTATTTTAACATCTGTATAGTGGTAACCATGTATGAAATTATGGTTTCTACACACACAGAATGCATAACATACAACCTTTGTTATCTAGTTTGAAAAAACTAATAGACAACACAATATTGTGGGCAGTATCAGATTCATTGCCGATGCTGGTATTGGTATCGAAACATCTCTAGCTGTTTACCAGCTTTTATATTCATATTTACATTCAGCAGTTTATGATTAGACAAGTGGCATGTTAAAGAATATCACTAATATAATTTTGTAATTGTTTGATTTCCTTCAGCAGCAGTTCACAACCAGCTCAGAAGTTATTTTCTGAACTTATTCGGGAGGCTCACGTTTCACTGCAACGATGTAACCTGGAGCAGCTGGACATCAATAACAGCACCTCTCACAGAGCTGAGCTGACAAACACTAAATCCTCAGCTTTGGAAAGTAACAGAGAAGATGTCTCCAAGAAAGACAAAACACACAGTGAAACATCGAGTGTAAAGAACTGTGAAACTGTGTTAATGTCAAAGAGGAAATTCAAAGAGGATAGGCACCTTTTGAATTTACACAACTGCAAGGACAATTCAGATTATTCTGAGGTCACGAATGCTGTTACTGTTCCACTGGTGTCCCAGAGAACCTCTGTTGACTCAAACCACCAGCCTAAACCTGTATCTCAATCAGAGGTGAATATAAAGCAGCAAAAACGACCGGCACCTCTACCTCTACCAGCCCTTGCTCTTTTTTTGAAGCAGCATTTGACAAAGTCTAAAAAGTCCAAGAATAAGCCAGGTTCTCCTTCCCCGGTTCTTTCATCTGAATCACAGAGTTCTGCTGAGGATTCTACATGTCTACTCTCTGATCATGCCAGCAATGCTAATGCTCCCTTGAAGGATCTTACTGGCTATCTAAAAAAATCTAACAACCAGGCCTCCGGACATGCTATTGCAGACATACATCCAGCTGGAAAAGCAGTTGAAGCAGCCTTTCAGCCATCTAGTCCATTATGTTTAGATGCTGTAGCCAATATAGAGCCAAAGGTACCAAGGACCGATGATCACTCCATTTCAGTTTCCGAAAGCCCAGACTCAGACATAGCCATATCAGATGGCAGTCCAGTGCCAACCAACTCAGATCAGCTATTGTGTACCCTTGGGACATTTTCATCCACCACTATTTCAACTCTTGCTACCTCTTCTGCATCTCCTGTGTTGTCACCGCCCCTTGACACAGTGTTATATGCCCAGAACTCACCACAAACACTAACCGTTATAGAGTCTTCCACACTACCCTCTGACTCCTCAACCATAAAGTCTGATTCTGTGCTCCCTGACCCTGAATGTTCTTCTTTTGGCTTTGAGTCTCTGTCACCTGCTAGCTCTCCAGAACCTTTACCTCCCTTGCCTGCCTCGTTAGCTTTTGAACTGGACTCCACTACCTCTGAAACAACTCTGAGAGCACTACCCCCTGAAGAGTCATTGCAAAATGTAGACTCTACTCCAACTGTGTTAAAATGGCATACAGTGTTACCTCCACCTGTGCCGTACATAGACACTTCATACACAACATTTCAGTCCACATCACAGCCACTTTCTTTAGTATCTGTCTCATCACCTTTGTTGCCTTCTACGTCTCCCACCCACACAGAACCACAAACCTCTACATCTATGGCTTTGGTTGATCCTACTTTATCATTTCAACAGAACGAACAATCACTGCCCTTTCCAGGAGAACTGTCCCCCCTTGCACTCCAGTTGCCGCTGTCGCCAACCTTTTCTTCATTAGATGGAGATGGATTATCACCTACGCCTTCAATCGCAGACCTTGTAAACTTTTTCTCCACCGATGATGACCTTGGGATGGGGGTGGAGTTTTCTAATTCTGAGGCAGTGGCGGTTACCTGCCCACCTCCAACTATAGTAGAGACAAATGCAAATAAACCTTCTCAGCTAGTCCTACCTTGCCCAGCCAAGAAACCCTGTGAGAGCAAGAAGTTCAGACGGCGAAAGCTTGCCAACATGGATGTGGATCAGAAGGTTGATAACGCCACCTACACTAGCATGCAGCCTAACCTGGAGGAAGTGGAGGAGCAGTTATTTATCTCATTCACGTCAAAGGTAAAAGTATAGCTGTTATAATGTCCCAGTGACTTTTCTATTGCACGTTGTTTCCCAGTATGTCTGAATTGGAAGTGGATACTTGATTCTCAAATCGAAAACACACCACTGGTGATTGACAGTCCAGGTTTTGTTCCAAGTAAACATTCACACCAACAAACTTTTGACAAAGAATTTAGTCCATTATTGATCAATGTTGTAGCGTTAACATTTTCCATCCAACACTGACCGTCTGCAGCTCCTCTTGTCTCTCTTCACTAAACAGCCTTTATCACACAGTAACTATGGAACAGAACTGTGTGAACTTGAAATTATTATTTCTTCTTACCAGGTTTTGTGTTGAATGATCTAAAACCTTCTAGCACATAGCACTATATATACCTACAGATCTGCTGTGACCAGACCTGTGTAGCTAACTGCATTCTGAAATGTCCTTTTGGGGATAATGAACATTTTCCACCCTTTATTTTGTTTTGTGTTTTTGTGTAGTTGAAGGCACAAAAACATCCCCACATGCATGCTGGTTTTCTTATATATGTACTGTGTATATATATACATATACACACACACAACATATTTTTCTGGTCCTTCTGTGAAGCTCTGATGCTAGCAAAAATGAGATTGAGATATTTGTTTGAATGGAGGAGAGGAAATATCAGGGAGACAAACAGGTGTAATAAAATAATGTCAAGTTGAAACTCTATGGACGGTGATTAAAAGCCAAACCTCGTATTTCAGGAGGCCCTTAAACTTCACATTGCAGACCCCCCTGAGGAAACGGTCACGCAACCTTCACACAACCAGACGACACCTCAAGGTCCCCTGCTACCACCTGATGACACACCTGAGAACGGTGACACAGTAACCATATTATTACAATCAAACAGTTTTTGGCTAAAATCTGCAAGTTTATTGACAGAATAAGAATTAAGTTTAGTCTGTGTGTGTGTCTACAATACAGAGGGGTAAGGGACAGGGTCAGCCTAGCTTAGCATAACAACTAGGAGCAGGGGGAAACGGCTTCCCGAGCTCCAATAAAAGGAGAAATATCTGTAGGAAAGCTTCAGTTATTTCTGAGTTAACGTTGTACCTTATCCTGTTAGCTAACAGGCTAAGCCCCGGCCCCTGTAATGGTTAGGGTTAGGGTTTAGTTTTACTTATTCATCCCATGTATGTATTACACCTGACAGTGACTACAGGCTAACTCCTAAGCTAACAGGGAGAACATGCTAACAGGAACTACAAGCTAACTTTTAGGTAACAGGAACTAGAAAGCAATTTTTTAATTATGAGCTAAAAAGAACTACCTGGAAGTAGCTAAATATAACAAACTAGAAACTAAAGGTTAGCAAACAAAGGCTAGAATTGAACTTCGTTATTTGCAGTAAATGATGACGTGACAGTGTGTTGGTGTCCAGCAGAGAGTTTGGAGAGGATCAGTAACTGTGAGAAGATTCTCCTGAGAGACCTGAAGATGATGAAACACAAACAGGCCATTCACCCTGTGCTACAGGAAGGTTGGTATCAGCCCACCCAACACAGACAAAGACTACACCCTGCCGAGAGGGGGCGCTGCAGAGCTGAGGGCGCTAAACATACTCTGAAAATTTTTTATAATAAACCTTATTAATATAGTACTTTTCAGAACCAATTACAAAAGCAAAGTTAAAATATCAAACATTGATCAGAAGAATTGAAATTTAAAAATAAAGGAATGAAATAATTAAACACAATAGGGGTCACAAGAATGCCATTGTATGAAAGTCTGTATTATAAGGTGAGAAATCTATAAAAGTATGTTTCTGTGAGCGATATTAAAGAGGATAAGGAGTCAATCGGTCTGATCTCCGCTGGGAGTTACTGTCGTTAACAAGGGGAAGACATTACATGCATCTCAGAATTACTGCTGAAGAAAATGGAGCTGATCTTCGAGAGTCGTCCTGAGCTGCAGAAAATGTGACTCACATGTTTGTTCAACTTGACTGACTTTGGTTGTCTCTGTAAAACTCAGTGGGTCTGAAGATGAACCTGCTGGATCCTACTCTGGCCATAGACCTGCAGTACCTGGGAGTCCATCTGCCCATCCCCCCCCCTGGAGCGTCTCAAGAGCCTGTGACCCTGGAGCTGCCTCCATCTCAGGGTTAGTAAGAGTCAGGTTCCCGTAAAGCTGGGGATCCCGCCTCACAGCCTAAATGTTACAAAAACATCAATTTATTTTTATTACATACATGTGACCTCTATTGGCACCCTCGATTCATCCGCCACAAAGTTAATTGAGTCAAAAGTGGGGTTTCTACCTTACTGAGCATTCAGTCAGTCCCATTTTAATGAACACGATATCTCAAGAACATTATGAGGAAGGGTCTTCAAATGTTTAATTGGTTTTAGATTAGATGACTAGATTCAGATGGCCAAAAGGTCAAGTCTCTCCTCAGGAGATTTCTTCACATTTGGATTTTTCACAACAGTTGTAACTTGGACTCAAGAATGAACTAATCTGAGTTGGATGGCGAAAGGCCACATTGACCTGAGTTGTGATTTAGAATTATTTGTGAGAATTGTAATGGAAAACGAGCCTTTGGGCTTTATGGCAGTATTGTTTTTGATCATCAAATAAACTCAGTCAATCAATGAACTGTAGAGCAATGAAACCAGTTGAATCCGTTAATGGACCTGTTCACCTGATGGTATTTCTGCAGGGTTTGTGTCCAGAACAGGAAAAACCACCGACGTCACTCAGATTAAAGGTTGGAGAGATAAATTCACTGCATTGGAGGCTCCACCCACTCCTTCATCAGCCACACCTGAAGGTAACCACTGTGTTCACTTCCTGTGAACCTTCTCAGTCTCTTTCTTGGTTTGATCTCAGTGTTTGTGCTGTAATCATGTCTGGTGTGCTACTTGAATCTTATTATTGAACATTATCATTATCTTATTTTTTTTATCTTTATTAGAAAGTCATTAAAATACCAAACAACCTCAGTTTGATTATATTAGATTAACTTTATTGATCCCAGTTGGGAAATTGTTGTGTCACAGCAGCAGGTCAACATTCGCAAAGAGTAAGAACGTGAAGACACAAGATGCAAAATTAATAAATAAAAAAATAATAAATATGAGTACATGTGGTAAAATTAGTATTAATATAATATGAGCAAAATAAATAAATTGACAGTTATTGCAGCACTAGTACTATTAAGTAATGGATAAAAGCTTATTCAGCACCCTCCTCTCCACCAACACTTCAAAAGTGTCCGGTTCGCAGCCAATGACGGAGTCAGCCTTCTCGATCAGCTTGTTCAGTCTGTTTGTGTCACAGGCTCGAATGCCGCTCCCGCAGCAGACCACAGCAAAATACAGCATACTGGCTACAACAGACTAGCATTTAGTGAGTTGCACCATTTCAGAGCCGTAACTCTCAGATGCAAACTCCTGGGTCTCCACAGCTCCTCCCAAATAGTAAAAATGTTTTACTTTTACTTGTTCTGTCTTGTGTCCTGCAGCTGGACCCAGTTCAGATCCACCTAAGAAGAACCTGTCAGCATTCTGCAGCGACATGTTGGACGAGTATCTGGAGAATGAAGGAAAGCTGATCGACGAGCGAGCTGCAAGCTTCTCTCAGCCTGTGGTGGAGCCGGTGGTGTATGAGCTTCCCGCCAGGAGCACCAGCTATGTCCGAACTCTGGACAGCGTACTGAAAAAACCTACTGCCAGCTCCCCCACCTCAGACCTCATATCTGGATTCATCCCCCCCTCCAAAAGACCAAAACACTCTCTCAAAGAGACAAAGACTTCCAGCAAAGAAAGGAAACACAAAGGTCCTAAAAAGGTCAGACTCAGACCAGAACCGGCAGCTGCTTCAGTTTCAACACCTGAACCAAGTCCAGCTGAACCAAACCTGGTCCCTAAACAGCCTGCAGTCCCGACCTCAGCAGCACCGCTGCTATCGGAGCATACAGCACCTGTCACTGAACCTTACAAATCCATGAAACACCAGAAGCGGAAGGTCAGATTCAACCACACAGAACCCTTAACTCTGTCCCCTCAGACCCCCACCCTTAAGAGGAGAAGGAAACTCAAACCCAAGTCCTCGTGCCAGACTCTCAGCACCCCCAGGTCCACGGCCTACCTGCCGCATGTCTCAGAGGACCTGCCTCCTCTAGAGTCGGACTCTGAGCTGGGGGCTGGTGCCAATCAGGGTGATGAGGACAGGAGACCTGTTATGACCCGGGCTCTTTTAAGACAGAAGGACCTGGAGGACGGAGTGGTGTGGCAGGGCCGACCCAGGACCAGCATCACCAAAGAGCGGGCCGCCATCGCCCTGACATCACTGTTCACACTAATGGTAGGAGACCACTCAGATTTCTAAACTTTATATGTCTGATCTTTCTCTTTGTGCAGTAATGAGTCGAATAACTTCTTTCTTTGTCAGTAAACTCCCAACAGACTCTGCTGATCTTACTCTATTAAAGATCCAGAAGCAAAGTCAACTGAAGGTGATGAGAACCAACCCCACTGTGCTCGACCCGAGAAAAGTTTCACGTTCTGCGTTTATTTGGTTTCCGATGACAAAAATCAAAAGAGCAAGCTATGCATTGTTGTCATCGGCAGCAGCTCCACAGGACCATGCCACAAAGTGCAATGAGAGCAAACTGTAAAGAAAACTTTCCTGAATGCCCGATGACAGACATCAATATTGGACAAGACATCATAACTTCTCTTTAGTTTTGTTTTGCAAGTCAATGAGAACATTTATACTGAAGAAAATCAGCATGTAACTTCTAAACAAGAAAATCCTTGTTGAGCTCTACATATACCAGATTTTTTTTCATAAAGATCAGTATTTGTTGAGAAATAAGTCCTAAACACATTCTAAATTAGTCCTATCGTGCAGTGTTATATAAAGAGAGACACATTGCAAACGGAGCAGACGAATGAGGTGGCAGAAGCTTCTATGACTCAGAAGAACATTTTCTGGAGAGAATCATCGACACAGGTGGTGAAACGTCGGCGCTGTGTTTAACAGAAGCATCACTTTGTGCAGGTTTCAACTCTAATGATGGAGACTCAACATTCACATCAATAAAATTTTATTTGTCTCATATTCACAAATCACAGTTTGTCTCATAGATCTAAACAGGGTATAACATGCTTCCATCCTTTTAGCAGGGAAGGAGACATAGTGACCACAGACAGAGGATTCCATCTCCCAGAAAGTTTGTTTCAGTATCACTGAGGATAGCCCCAACGTTTAAACTGTCTACTGTAACGCTCTGTTTTCCTCTCAGGGTTTTGTCAGCGAGAACCCCACCGCTCCCGTCCAGCTGGTCCGCAGACGTGCGCCGCCCTGCCTGAATGACTTCTGTAGGCTGGGCTGTATCTGCTCCAGTCTGTCCCACTGCTCAAGGATCAGTCACTGTGGCCGACCTCGCTGCATGTTCGGCTGCAGCTGCCTCAAACAGAAGGTCGTCCTCCTCAAGAACCTCGACGGCTCAGACTCCAGCCCCTCCCACCACGGAAATACCCGGAGGAGGAGGAGGAGAAGGATGAAGATGGCTTACGGTAAGGAGCCAGCAGGTAGCGCTGGTGATTCGGTCTGAGCTTCAGCTCTTGACTTTCCTCTCAGGAGGACTTTGTTCACTAAATGTCCTTGATGGAGTCTGGAGGCTGATGTGTAATGAAGCTTTCACACACTCAGACACACACACACCTGTAAACCGGGTCAAAACATCATTTGATATTCATGAACTCAAATGTCGTCCGTGCTTATATGCTTTTAGAGCAGGAAGTGAGGTGTGATCACATGATCACAGGAGACACTTTCAGGTGTGAACTTGGAGCCAAGCACTTGTGATTGTATCTCAGGACAGATGTGTTACCAGGTGTGACCTCCTGTTAAACTACAGAAACAATTCGACAATCACAGCACATGACGGCACATCCTGCTAATTGAATATTAATTCACCTGTAACTTTTTGTTTGATTTGTAGTTCTGAAGGAGGCGGACAGCGTTTCCCAGCCTGCTGAGCGGGTCAGGATTCTGTGGAGGAGGGATGCTAGAGACTCAGATCCAGATCCGACAACCGTCCCCGACATAGCATCTCTGCTCCGCAGCTCTGTAAGTTAGTCCTCTACAGACATGATGTCATTTCCTCTGCAGCTTCACAGTTGAACCCTTGTGGCACCTGCACCTAGTGGCTCGACTGAAACTCTGCTTGTAGGTGGAGACGTTAAAAACATGGGTTGGTGATTGTAACTGTCTATCAACAGTTGAAGCACTGCCGTCCCACTCAGCTGAGCATGCTGCTGAGTGTTGAAATCTGAAAAGTTTTGTGTGTGTGTTTGTATTCAGGAGAGCAGAGATAATGGCGGCTGTGCCAGAGTCAGAGGTTACATAGGAAAGAGGAAGAGCTGGAAACAAACGGTAAGAATCACGTCACACCAGGAGAGAACTGTTCAACGTGTTGTTTGAGCTCGTCTGAATTGTTTCTACCTGGGGGGGGTGCACAAGAGCACAGAGATCACGCTCATTGGAGACAAGGGACAGGTAAGACTTCTGAGAACTGGATGACCATCAAAGGAACATACACACCTACAGCTGAAACTATGACAAGGACGGGAAAAACTTCATGGATGTTTTGACACCGAGTGGCAAGATTTCTACCGATAAAGAGGGAGTGAGAGCGCTGCTCTACAATTAAGAGACGCAGCAAAACACCAAGTTTGAAACACAGTTTGTTCAATTATGAGAGTGGAGGTAAATACTGTGTTGGTTGGAATTCGTTTCGTTACCTACAGGAGGTGAAGACTCATACATGCAGCATTAAAGAGGATAACTTAAGCTTGTTGTGGTTTTTACATCTGTTAAAGGCTGTTACACTGTTTCAAAGTGCTATATCAATAAAATGTATTATTCTTATAAAGTTTAGTATAGACTCAAAGGCAGACCTGTGTGTCGTCTCTTTCTTTAGGACATCAAGAAAACTATGAAGCCTAAATCTGTTCGACTGAAATGTGTGAAACAGAGAGACCTGACCCTAAAGGAAGAAAAGACCAGAGCCCCCAGTCCTCCTGCTGGTAGGTTAATTCGTGCAACATTTACAATTTTAATTTACAAAGATCTGAAACATTTGTTCGTACCTGTTGGCAGCCACTTTACAGTGAGGAGAAGCTCATAACGGGTGAGGTAGGAGTCAACGAGTCAGAGAGTCAGATTCAAAGAGTTATGAAGTCAAAAGCTTAGAGTTAAAGTGTTAGAGTCAAAGAGCTAGAGGTAAAGAGTCAACAAGTTATATAGTTAAAGAATGAATGATCACACTGATCGATCACAGCCCCTCCACCCTGGGAGATCATGAAAGTGGACACAGAGTACGTGCAGGTGGTGCTGAGTGTTTGATTTGAGCCTCACAGATCTCTACACTTGAAGATGCTGATGGAACTGTTCTGTCTCACATACACAAAGAACACTTCTGATTTTAATGTTCATTATAAAGCAGATCTGACCTACGTCATTCTATCTTCTGATCTCTGGAAACTGTTTGACTCAGGTTTTTATTTATCTTTTTTCTTGTATTTTTCATAAAAAGCAACTCAGCCAGTTTCCTCCGTCCAGCCTCAGAGTCCTCCCTCAGAGCCTACCCCCAAACCGTCGAAGCGTCTAATCGTCATTGCGGAGTGTAAGTGGACAACCGATACAGACCGCAACCACGTGTTGAAGAGGCTGTGCGAGGCAATGGCTCTAGACCAACTGGATGAACCTTTCTGGATCAGGGAGTATCTCATCAGTCCCATCAGTCAGAATGTAGAGGAGAGCGGCAGAGACTGCTGCATCCATTATAAAGTCCACATCACCCAACCCAGAGAAGAGCGTGAGAAAGCAGTGCCACCAAAACCACAACCACCAGGAAACCAGAGGACAGAAAAAACACAACTAGAAAAAGAGGTAATGGTTTAAACTTAGAAAACTGAAATTTTTTCACTTGTGTCAGTTTGTGCACCTCTGGTCATAGGAACTGAATCTCGTTGAGCTCTGGACAAACAAGATTTTTCAAAAAAACTTGGAAACTGCAACAGTCCATTTTTCACTATCTTATATTTAATGTATTTTAAAACCATACTCCTTTCAGGGCTAAATACAAAAATCAAACTAAGCTACTTTTCCAGAGGACTTTTATTGTGAAGCCACTGTAGGAAGTTGTATTTTATTTTATTTCAGTGTTTTTTTCTATAGATATAAAAGGTTATCAGTGTGGAACAATTTGAAATTGATCCACAAATTGCCCCTCTGATAGCATCCCAGCTCGTCTTCTGAAGTCTTGACACTGTTGGCCCATCCATTCTGTCACTGATAAACACCTGCCTTCTCTCTGGTTGTGTCCCAGCTGCTTTTAAACATGCTGTTGTACAGCCCTTGCTAAAGAAAAAAAATCTTGATCCCTCTGTTCTCTCTAATTTCAGTCCCATTTCTAAACTGCCCTTCTTGTCCAAAGTCTTAGAGAAAGTAGTTCTCACCCAGTTGCAAACATTTCTAATCAACAATAATGTGTATGAAAAGTTCCAGTCTGGTTTTAAACCCCATCATAGCACTGAAACAGCCCTTTTAAGAGTATTTAACGATTTGGTTTTAGCTATTGATTCAGGAGACTCTGCTGTCCTAGTGCTCCTAGATCTGACAGTCGCTTTCTACTCAGCTCCTCCTGATTTGATTTGATTTGAAAGGTGATCGTGCCTTCACAGTAGCCGCCCCAAACTTATGGAACTTACCATATTTTTTATTCTGATGTATTGCGTGTTACTGTCCTCTTGTAACACACCTTGCACTTTGGTCAACCAAGTTGTTTTAAATGTGCTACATAAATAAAATTGACATTGACATGTTAGATATAACGGAAACGTAACATGGGACCCCAACCAGTCGAGTCAGTAGACCTAGTGGAGCCAGAATAGATCCCTCGGGGAATCCACAAAGGATTGGAGCATGAGAGGAGGAGGCATCTCCAAGCAAGCAAATGTAGCACCATAAAGAATGAGATGTGTTGTGAGTGTCTCGTGTCTCTCTGCAGGGCCACCTGAGACAGGTGAAAGGGGAGGCGGAGCGTCTGGAGGCTTGGCAGTGGGAGATCACGGAGGAGGAGAAGCCTCCGGAAGACTGGCAGCGGGAGGTGGAGGAAGGTGACATCCAGGAGGAGGAAGGCTCAACACTTCACCAGATGGACAATGGGAGCGAGAGGAGTACAGGGAAAATGAAACGAAACGAAAAAAAGAAGAAGATGGTCAGCTTGGCTCTACCTTTCCTAACAGGAATCTCCCCTGCCGGATTCCTCTCAGCCAGAAGAAGACTACCAGGAGGGACCGACCACCTGGTCCAGGTAAGGACTCCATATATGGTTGTGACTGCAGGAAGATTCCACTGTCAGGTACAACTTGACCCTTTTTCATAACAACCTTGGATATTAACAACATATTATGAAGTTTTAAAGCTAAACAGACTCTAAGGACATAAACTATTCTAAATGTTTCAACTCGTCAAATTATTATATGACGGATATATATTATCCATGTTCAACACCTACGTCATCATAAACACATTGAAAGTCAGTGACACTTGTTTTTTACAGGTCAATGGGAAACTCTATCCTTTGGCTAAGATCCAGTTAGGGAAGATGGGGGCGCTCCATCCAGCAAACCGTCTGGCAGCTTATCTGACCGGCCGGGTGGGGTCCAGCAGGAAGCAACTAGGTTCTTCTTCATCCTCTTCCCACTCTTCAAAACCTCCTCAGACCCAGAGTTCAGACCCGACCCCCCAAACTAACTTCTTGGCTTCAGCAAACCTCATTGCTCCTGACACCACCCCACCCCAACCACAGCCATCAATCACAGTAGCACCCTCTTCTTCAGGTGAGGACGCAACTTATCTGTCAGTCAATCGGACTCCTTTGCATTTGCCCTAGATTCACCTAAGAAATCGATACGAGCGTAGCCATGAGCTAGCAGCTTTGAGTTTTGGCCTGCGATAATTGCGAGGATCATTTTATTAAAACATACCCAGCTGAATTTTAACAGTACAGTTCGACACATTTTTATCAAAACAGGAACCACCTCTTAGCAAACCAGTACTGCTAACAAGCTAACTTTAGTTTTCCTGCTCTGTATGTGAGTACATGATGCTACAGCATTAGGGAGCTACTTCTGTTGTGGAGTGGTGGCTAGTGATTTTGACTGTGTTTCGTAATATTGATCATTCTTGGCTAATTGCAATATGGCTTTCAACAATATAGGTAACTGATGCTATCATTAGCTTGAGGGCTAGCATATATTTGTTTTGTGGTTGCATATAAAACTAACCACGTCTGTTGTTGAGCAGTTTCACACTTAAGCCATTGACCGGAAATCGTATCTTGAACATCTCAAGCCATCTGTGTGTCACAGTGCTCAACCAATCAGCTTCCTGCGACCAGCCCACAGCTGGAGAACCTGAGGGGGCGAGGACGAAGGTTGTTGCTGTGAAGGTGTACCCGAACCCTGTGGCAGGGGGAAGTTGGGTGACACCAGTAGCTTCTGGCAGCTCCACTCCCTCTACAGGTAAGCATGAAGACGTAACACTCGCAGTTGCTTTATCTGGCTTTATCAGTAGACTAGCTCCTAGATTTGCATTATGTAACACACTTAGCGGCTAGTTTACAGAAAGAACTTTCCCTGGTCTCATCAAGACGTCATGTGGCATTACAATGATGCAAAAGTATGGGCTGAACTCGAATAGATGTGTCCGGAGCAGTTTTCATCATCTTGTGACCACCTCAGGTTAATCGTGTGACCCATTCTGGGTTCCTGACCCTTAGTTTGGGAAATAAAAACTATTAATAGCCCTTGTTTGTGATGACCTTATGTGTTTTAGTCTCTCAAGCAAGCAGCTCTATAGTTCTACCCATGATTCCTTGTGCAGGCTCAGCAGCGGTCCTGGGTCCTGGTGTAAAGGCCGTCCCTCTCACTGGTCAGAGGATGGTCCTGCAGCCTGTTCATACAACATCAGGAGTGCAGTATTACCGTATACCAGATGGTAAGCTGGTCCAACTACTTCCCATCAGCAAGCTGAGAGCAGTCAACACAACTCTGCGTGTTCCCAGAGGTGAGTGTATATAAAGATGATCACTGACTGTATATAAAGATGATCACTGACTGTATATAAAGACACTGACTGTATATAAAGACGATCACTGACTGTATATAAAGACACTGACTGTATATAAAGATGATCACTGACTGTATATAAAGATGATCACTGACTGTATATAAAGACCATCAGTGACTGTATATAAAGACCATCACTGACTGTATATAAAGAGGATCACTGACTGTATATAAATACACTGACTGTATATAAAGATGATCACTGACTGTATATAAAGACGATCAGTGACTGTATATAAAGATGATC